GGGAGAATGTGCTTAACACAATTGGTGATGAGGGCCAGTTAGGCTGAGATGTCCTAAATGTTTTCCTTTAATACTAATGTGTGGGCTTTGTTCTGCCTAGAATGAACGATATCCACTGTACATCTCAGAATATTGCTAATCACAATCTGGCATTTCTACTATTTACTGTTTCATGCATGGTACAGTCCAAAAGTAACTTTTATCTGCTTTGCATTTATATATAGTCCCCCCAACCCCCAACTTGGTCACCCCTCATCTAAAGTTGGCTCCAGTGGAAAAATTCAGATGTCATCAGTAACTTTTTATCACACTTGAATATTAGCATCATTATGGTACATCAGGCTAAGCTGGTATTTCATATTACATGGTAATTAATTTCAAAACTATGACAAAAGGAATTATAGAAATACAGGTACTGGGAATGGCAAAACTCATAGGGGAGGTGTGGTTGAGATGCCATACCCAGGAAAAGACAGGGCATGTCTTTCTCCCTGAGCCTGCATAAAATGGATTGGATATAGTTAATTAGACCAGAATTACTGTCTCTGGAAAAGAAAGCTAAAATCCAACAGTTTTGAGTAACAAGAATATCAGCATCCAAGTTACAGATGTAAGCTTTCAGCAACATAACTCATTATTTGGAAATGTGCACTATACAACAGAAAAAGACAAAGAAATCACATCCAAAACAAGTACAGCATCTGCCTAGAGATCAGAAATGCCTGCCATGTGGCCAGTGCCACAGAAAACCGCCCGTCTGCGAAGCCAGCCGCTCGGCTTGGCTCAGGCACTCGTGTCGGGCTCCTGGGGATTGTTGTCCTAGAACGGCACATTTCAGCTTCAGGGCTCTTTGGGAGAGCATTGTTTATGGTGGATCCCCGAGAACTATTACTCAATTTTGATTCCTATTTATTCTCCTACCTAAGGACTGAGAAGGGGTTTTCTCCAATCCACTGACCACTTGCCTTAGTTTTCCTACTTAGATATTTTGTAAGAATTTATGGTTCCCAGTCCTTTCATTAACCCTTACTCTGAATGTGCCCTTGTCAAGTGACAGCACTGCTGGACAGCCAGATTCTCTACCTGGAACTGGCATTATGAAACTTAAACTACTGCAAGCTCTGCACATAGCCTGGCATTGTATTAGATGCCTACTTACGACACACTTGATGAATGAATTACAAGAGTGACACTGACAAAATGGGACAGATCTAGAGAATGGGATGGACAAGCTAGAGATATTTTGTTTGGGGTCACAGACTTGAGAGCTTCTTTCAAATACAGTTGTCAGGAAAGGAGGGATTATGCTTTATACCATATGTTCGAGGTCATCAGGATCTCATGATTTAATGTAGCGTTCCCCAGAATTCAGTACGATGTAGTACTAGGGAGAAAAAAATTCCTACAATCAAGAAAGTTGGCAAAACGCTGGATCAAGTGTGTTTCAGTTTAACTTTAGAACTTCTCAGAGCCTTTAACATGTCAATGTGCTTTGCACTCTAAAAGGGAGATATACTACACAGCTTTTTCCAAATTTTTATTCAACTACTGTTTAGTACAGTCCACTATGTTCTAGGCACAGTGCTAGGTCATGGGGATACAATATTAAGCCAAACAGGACCGCTGTCCACCCTTAGGGAGTTGATGCTCAGTGTGAGCAACAAATATCACACAAATATTTATTATAAACACAGTAAATGATACAAACAAAAAGTTCATCAGCATTTTCCAAGTGTCAACATGAAAGAGATACCTCTTCCACTCAATATAAAAGATTGAAACCCAAATAGTTCCCTTAAAGCTTTTCATGAGCTAGGTTCTAATAGTCTACCTTAGTTTGAAGAACCCTGCTCCGAGGCCTAATATATTCCCTTGCTAAAAATGCATCACAGTTTCAGAAGCAAAGTCTAGAGGCGAAAGACAAACCACTCATTTATGAAAACGTCAGAAGTAATAAATGCCTCCAGATGCTTGATGAGAATAGCTCCAGCTTTAGGGACTGCTGAAATTACAGTGATGTTGAGACATAAGAAATGTATTGTGGTCTACGCTGCAACTAAAATGAATATGGACTGATGCAAGGATCCAATCCACAGTGGTTCCTACTGAAAGTACCAGATTTGAGTAAGCAAGTCTTCATCAGTAATGCAAACCCAAACCAACTGCACTTTGTATATTGATTTCTAAATGACAAGGCTCTTATTTTTATAGATATATTTTTAACAGGAAGATACAATGATGTTAAAATGTCATTATATATTTGAGTTAATTTTTTCCCCTTTTATGCCCATTTGCAAAACACCAAGTGCTAGACGTGCCACAAAGAATCAGAGGAAACAGTCTGGCTGTGTTTTATTTACCCTTGTGATGGGGGTGGGGTGGGGTGGGAGTGGGGGTAATAGGGAAGCTAGAGGGAAAGACAAATTAATCACCTTCAAAAGAGATCAACTAGTATGTCAAAGTATGCTGACATTTCCAAATCTTCAGGTTTGTCTTTACCTCACTGGCCATTCCAGCACATTATCAGTTAACAAAAATTAAGTATTTAAAGACCTAAGTACTTAATGAACCTCCAAATAACCTAAAGATTGAGTCCTTTTTCACTGTATGGTTATTATACAGGGTGGGGCAAAACTGGGTTTACAGGTTGTTCATATGGAAACTAACAATAGTTAATAATAATAATAATAATAGTAATACAGAGATAGCTGCTTCACATACTCAACTGTAAATCTACTTTTGCTCCACTGTGTGTTATACATACTAGATTCCACAATATTACATTTGCTAGTAAGTGTGAAGAATCAAATTCGTAATTCACGTTTGAGAGAATTTAAAGGATTCTTTTGTCAAATAGTTATACTGCAAATAAAATTCTGTCATTACAAAGCATCATTTAATATCAGATTGTCTGAGAAAAGACATGTCTCTCTTCTCTCTTTCCCAACACTCCCGTGGGTAATTTTTAATATTTTTAGACCAGATGATTATATTTAGAAAACACTTAAGAGGATATAAGAACTCAAAAAAGGTAAGTATTTTGACTAATTCTATCCTAGTAATTATGAATCGGGTTGACTTTTGAAGGGGACCCAAGTTTTGCATCCCTAAAGCTGCCTTCTGGGATACTGATTTTAAGCTGGTTACTACAAAACAAGTCTCAGAAAGACCCTTTGACCCTGCCCACGTTCCCGCCTGAAAGATTCAGGTAGAAAAACCTGCTTCAGGAAGGGAACCGTAGCATAATCACCTCAAGCATTAGACAGCAAGGGTCCAAGCAGGGACCGGTTTTCCAGGTGCCCCGCTGTGTCCCATTGTTTCTGGGTGGCCAAGCAAAAACCTGTCGCCAAGTGCGATCCCCTCCACCCCACTACCTGTCAACTACCTTCTCCCTTCAAAACCACAGACCCTTACCCCACCCCTTCTCCTTTGTCCAAAGTAACATATATACCCTATTCTGCCTCACTGTCTTTGGAGTTTTCATGCTTATGTGAATTCCCTGTGCACGTGTGTTAAAATTTTGATTTCCTTCTGTTAATCAGTCTGTGTTACTTTGAATAGTCCAACTAGTAGAACTTAGAAGGTGGAAGGAAAAGCATTATCTTTTTAGCCCCCACACTATAAATATTGTCACACTTGATTTTTTTCCCTATCCTACCTCAAGATTCTACACTTTTGCTTCAACTATGTTGGCACATTTAACAGGAAACCTAATTTACCTCAGACCTAAATATCAATGGTACGATAAGTAAAAAGTGAGACTCATTCTTTGGCACAACCCAACGTAACCCTTTACATTTTTTGAAACTTTAAAGAAAAATTTACCTCATATTACAGCCTATAAAAAATAAACATACTCCAGAAAAATAACCACTAAAAGTTGCTGTCACTCAGTATCAAATCTTGTATATTGTTTTACCAATTCCGCTCTATTTTCCAGTGAATGGGGTAGGTTGGAAATAAACGTAACAGGACTAGTCCATTCATGGGTTCACTTCAGACTGAGTGGAATATATCTATATACCACCATGCTGTAAGGATTGGTAGGTCAGTTTTAATCAATTAGGATGAGGCTACTTTGGGTCACTAGATAAATAGTTTATCAATTAAACTCTATCCATGGTAAGAACTAAGATCACCTGAGTGCAAAACAACATTATGAAAAACAAGCAATTACTTATTTTATTTATGCCAAACTTATTCTTGCCTGGTTAACAATGCCAATAAGTTTTAAAACATATTTTCGCTTCCTAGAGAGGGTCATTACCAAGGATGAGTTAAACAAGCACACAGAGATTTGTGGCCATCTCCAATTTTCTTTCCTTTGTTCCCTTTTATCCTTCATAGTTTCCTCTCTCTCATCCTCACCAGGGGACATGCTTACTGATTTCAGAGGGAGGGGAAGGGAGAGAGGGAGAGAGGGAAACATCGATGTGAGAGAGCAACATCTCGCATGCACCCTGACCAGGCCAAACCCGCAACCTAGCTAGACATATGCCGATTAAGACTCGAGCCTGCAGCCCTTCGGTTTAGGGGCCACACTCCAACCAACTGAGTCACACTGGCCAGGCCTTTTCTTTTTTTCCTTTTTTAATCCTCATCTGAGGATATATTTATTGATTCCAGGAAGAGGGGAAGGGAAAGAGAAAAACATCGCTGTGAAAGAAACATTGATCAGCTGTTTCCCCAAGGTGCCCTGACTGTGGACCAAACCCACAAACTAGGCTCGTGCCCTGACCAGGAACTGAACCCATGTTCTTCTGGTTCAGGGGATGACACCCTAACCAACTGAGCCATGCCAGCCAGGGCCATAACTTTTATTTCTTAGAGAAACTTTTATGACTGGTATAAGACTAAGGAAATTTCACTGAGTTCTCTTAAAGGTAACTCTATATAAATTTCATTTCTAACTTCTATGAATAAAGACAAACAGAAAATTTGTTTAATTTTTTAATAAACCATAAAATTTAAATATTCAAATAAAAAGAAACAAAAATAGATATTTAAGCCAGCACTAATTTCTGTTTCTTTTGTGCCTCTCGGTATCAGAGGCTTGACTTACCTGGGACTAGAGTAATAGAGTTATGAAACTGGTATAATAATGAACAAGTAAGTGAAAATGGGCAACGGCTTGATAAAATTTACTTTCAAACCTGGAAGTAAAGATCATTAGTAGCTCATGTGAATCCACTGCAGGGACCTTGCAAGGGTCTTGTCTGTGGAAAAGTACTTCGTACTGTTCTCACCACACTTTCTTCTTCACAGCTTAGCACTCCCTGGCACTTCGATCCTTTTGCTCACTGAAGCTCACTTCAGTCTGTCAAAACATCAAGGGGAAAATCCCCAAACTGAATAGACGAATAAACACTTTTAAGGTGAACAATCATATTCAGATCAACTTCTTGAAAAAAATACCAGTCAGTGGGTTTTTTATCCTTAAGTAACTCAAATACAGTTTTTTTTTGCCTGTACTAAAATGGCACTTTTCATTTTATTGACATTAGCCAGTTATTTGCTACTTGCTTCCACATTTTGCTGATCACATTGGTACCCCATTTTTCTATCTGATTGAGCCTTATACCTTCCATTCCAGAATATCCGATCTTTGATAAACTTTATCTCATTTTGTGAACAAGTTTGCTATGAATTAATGAAGGAAAAAAGGAAGCAGTGAGCACCAGCAGGATCTCACTTCAATATGCATAATTTTTATAAGAAAAACATTCATTTTTATTGTGCAATCTAACACCATTATTATATGATATTATGTCTTTTAGCATACCCAAATGGGCCGACATTCAATACGGACAGCAAGCTAGCTTACAAGAAATAAAGTGTAATGTACAAACACTTTTGCTGGTAGGATTCCAGCAGTGTGGGAATAAAGTGCAGCAAAAATTTCTTCATATTGAGTAAGGAAAAATCCAGTTAACTTCCGAATTATTTTTGGTAGAATAAAGGAAAAGCTACTGCAGTCAGGTAATCTTTAGACTTTTTTAAACTGGCTGCCAGCGGCCACAGTGAAATATTAGGCCTGAATCCAATGAAAAACACTAGCCTGGAAAGGGATCAGTTTTTCCAAAAATGTGAAATTATCCTACACAGATGCTGAGTATGCTATGATCTGACAGGTGTACAGCAGTAAAACAACAGCAAAGGTAAATGATAACATTACTTACACCTTTAGCCTGTAAAGAACACTTATTTAGAAATCGGCAGCTAGAAATTCTATGACAGCTCCTGAGACAAGTCATTCTATGCCTTACATTCATTCCATGCCAATGACGACCAGTCTGAACAGTAACACATGAGTAAAAACAGAGATCTTCTGTATGCGAGTCAGAAAACACTGAAAAAGTGACAAAATTGTATGTTATTAAATGACAAAACATATTTCGAAGCTTTATTTAAAAATGTCTCACTGTTCATTATCAAAGTTACAAGATTGCATACCAATAGACAGACTGTAAACATAGGAAATTTTCATTAAGGAAAGATGGGTTTACTGTAATTTGATCTTTTACAAAAATTGCTGCAAGTTATTGATAACAGAATTTCTCTTTTACTTTCTTAAGTCTAATTCTCTTGAAAATTAAACCAATGTTTCCACTCACTCGAGCTAAAGTTCAACCATGGTCACCTTAGGAAATACCCCTGTTTATTTGTTAATGAGAAATACAAATTGAGTGGCACATATTTCCATTTTCTTCTTAGGCCAAAGGTTTCAGCTTCATTATATTTTACAAGAAAACAGAAGACTCGCAGTGGTCCTGTGAAGTCTTTCATGCCGCGGCTGAGGTTTACTGACGGCAGTGGAGGGAAGCAGCGGTGATGCACAGTAAGACCAGCCCGAGCGCCCTTATCAGCCAGGGAATCTTTTTCCTGTGTGGCTCGCAGCGGCGTTTCTGGTCAGGCTGCCTCCACCAAAACTGAGTGAAGCAGGAGGGTGACATGCTCTGGTAAATCCTGTTCAAGGGTGATTCCGTTCAAGCCAGCAGGTGATCCTTCAATCTGTTGGTTGTGGGATGATACTGATATGAAGAAAATTATCCGGGTAGCTCAGATGTTCACTCAGCCACTGTAGAGGTGTTTCCAACATTGGCTCAATTCCATGAATCAACACTTGATTCTTTTTTTCCCCATCTATTCCAAGAAAAAAATCCAATAATCATCAATATGACTCAAAGAGTTGAAGAAAAAAATAATCTGCCTTTTGAGAATCCTTAGTAAATTAGATTTTACTGTTTCAACAGGTTAAATCTGGTCTGTCTCCTAAGCAGGAAATGTGGACATGCATGGAGAAAGTTCAAATGTTGCAATATGTATCACACAAAACAGAAACCTGAGGGTTACAATGAATTCTGATAAAAATTCTGTTGCTATATGTGAAAGTATTCATTCTTTCTCAATTACTGTGCTTACCTAAGATTGACGTTAATGAAACTATAGTGGAGAAAACAGCCCATTGTACCCACTGACCAAAATTTATTTTAGTTATACATTAAAAACTGTACTATATGGCAATTTAAAATGACAGGCACATGAAATAGGTCAACACATATTTAGAATAAAATAGATATGTGAGTAGAAATCATCTAGAATAAGATCTGGATTCAGGTAAATGTTTAATAAAACAGATGGGAGCTGTAGGTGAATTTTCAGTCAGGTTTTAGAGACATTATTGAATAACAGTGAAAAGTTTTAATGAGAAAGAACTAAGAGTCTGACTCAGGGATATCTGTGTTAAGAGTCATGAAACCTGATTGATTTTTGTTAACACCCATTCCCTAATTAAAAGGGTGCTGCAAAATTCATACTTCTCTTTTAAATTAAAACTTCATTACAAATTAAAATTTAAGGTTAATTTTACATCTTTTATGATTTTGGTTTGATGTGCTGACAATCTTTAATGTAAACAGAACCACCCAGGAAAACAAAGAAAGGAAAACCAAACTCCCCTTTTGGCGGGTGGGGGCGGGGGGGTGGCCGCGCGGAGAACCTTCAAGAACAACTTTTTGTCATTTCTTTAGCACAACTCTTGGTTTGTCTCTTTTAGTCTCTTTAAAATACACTGTCTAAATCTCTCAGCTTCCTGGAGACAGAAGACAAGAAGGAAACAGGGAATTCATGGAACCACATGAGAGGGAAAAACCCTACTTTTTCCCCTTTTTGCTCCATTCAAAATGACTTTCGCATCCTTAGTGCTCTAATGTCTAGGCAAGATGGACTGATGATGTATGGTGATAGCACCTGAAACAAGAGACCCTTTTAAAGATATATTTAAACTTCCTGTTAGAGGCAGCCTAGTCCTGGGAGGTGACAGTCAACAGATTGACAATAAGAGAGGACACTAAAACACTACAGGAAATTTCTAAAAGAATGCCAAAAATAAAAATGTAACATACTATCAATCCTCAAAACAGCCAAATAAAAGTTCCAAACCTCTGAATCACTGTATCATAGTTTAAAACAATTTTGGAAAAAACAACATCACCTCATAATCATACTACCCTAAAAAACGCTTCCATTGTTTTGTTTACCAACCTTTTTTGCATCTATGCATGCTTTTTACACAGTTGTGATCAGGGTTAATACAATGACTGGTTTCCGTAATGATGAGTATCATCTATATAAATAAAGATTAGGCCATGTACAGAATACTAGAGAAAGCAGGGTTTAGTACTTTGAGAAGATTTTAAAATGTTGGTATTCAAATGGATACACCTTCCACTATCTGGAATGATTCAAATGATTCATTCTTCGTAATTTCTAGATTGCCAAATTTTACTGTATTAAATCTTTCTTAGAATATTTGAAAACATTTCCGGTGTAGTTCTCTTTATATTCTTATTACCTATTTCTTTGAAATATTTTAATATTCTCAGAATCTTCCTCCTACTTAGCACTGAGTCAAAAATGAAAGAGCAGTGGTGTAAGAGTAAAAGTTCCTTCTTTGTAAAGTTTTTCCTTAAGCCAGAATCACTTTTGGATATTCTGAAACTAAGTAGAAGAAACAAGTCACAACTCAGTATCCAAAATACTGTGCCTAAAGTATTTAAATGTGGAAGCAAATATAATCTGGCACACTTGGGCATAGTGTATTTACTTGAAAGGCAAAATACCAACCTTGTTACACAAAAGGATGTTTGGAGTTTAAGTTGTATAACATAAGCTGGAGAACATAACAATGACCAAATACTCTGTGTAACAAACTCAAGAAATCACATTATCTGTCACAAACCTGAAGAGACAGCATTGATTCTCTGCTTTAAATTGGGGCCACTTTAAATCTGTAACATAAGAGTGTTGCTAAATTTAGTCAACGAAGGAAGTGGATTTAAGACCATCGTATCACTCAACACCTCACTCAACACCACCGTTTAATAGTAACTACAGTTTCTCTCTTATTCATTATTGTATCTCCAGTGCCTAGCACAGTGCCCGACACTTGGCAATTACTTAATAAATGATTTCACCGCTTTTGTAACTTTGCTGCTGCTAAAATACACTGCCAAAGTTAATTTTTTAAGACTAGCTTTTGATGGCTAGTACGACTATGTAGAAGAGCCCTATGTATGGACTGTTTTGGTTATTAAAATAATAGAAAGTCCAAATGTTATCAAGTACATATGCTATCACCTAAGTTCATACTACCATAAATAGTAAAGCATACCTGTACTATTGGGGCAGGGATAAGTTCCCCTAACCTCTTTAGTTCTCCTGGCTGGTTAAATAACTCAAACAACGTAGAGCAGATTAACAGGAGGAAATAAAAAATGTAATATGTAAACAAGAGGAATTCACATAAGCATGAAAACTCCAAAGACAATGAGGTAACATTGAGTATATATAACATTTTTGGATCAAAGAGAAAAGGAGGGACAGTATTAGATTTCAGAAGTGAGAATGGGTGATTTATGGGTAGCTGAGGAAGCACACGGTCGCCAATTCTTGCTAGGCAACTCAGAAACAATGGGACACAGTTGGGGGGTGGGGTGGGGGGGTGGGTATCTAGTCTGACTTGCTTGGTGTTCCTGACTAATGCTAGGGTGTAAATGCTTAAGGTGATTAAGTCAAGACTCCCTAAAGCAGTAATCTAAGAAAAAAGGGGAAGTAGAAAACTCTTCCTGAATTTGTTGGGCTTTAGCTGACTTCAGTTTGAAACGATCCACATGCCAGGGTGGCACATTTTGGGGATGCTTGCTCCCTACCCCCACAGTATATTCTGGCAATATCAGAAAGGACAAAATGGAGCAGTGCAAAATTAGTAGATGTTTCCTTTTTCCCTGACAGTAGAAAGGAAACACTTGATGATATTGCTAAAGTAAATCATGTTTTTGGTAAATACGTCTTTGTGTTTCAAAACGTGAGTCTAGAATTTAATACTTGGGAATTAGAAATATGTCACTACAAAGCAAATGACTCAGGAGAAAAATGATACTCCACACTTCACCCACTCAGATTTTTTTTCAAAGTCAGTTTGGTGGTTTAAAGTAGGCAAGCACTGAGACAGTACGTGAACTATTCTCTATATAAAATCCTCTCACACAGGGCACTTTTTGGGGTACCTCTGATTTTGATATATTTTCAAATTTAAAGAAAAGTTGCAAAAATAGCCTAAGAAATTCCTCTTCACCCATCAATAGTTATACTTTGCCCTGTTTATTTTATCATTATAAATTATTTTCTGAATCATTTCAGAGTAAGGTAGAAACACTGAGCCCTTTATTACTAAATATTTTAGTATGTACTTTCTATTATCAGAATAAAAAAATTTATTTTTATTTTTAATCCTCACCCGAGGATATGCTTATGTTACCACTGGTATTTAACTAATTATTAATAAGGAAAGGGGAGCAAAGGGGCTTAGAGATATTGAGCGTAATAACCTGGGAAGCATAAGCCTACTTGTGTAGCCAGGACGCTACTGCTTCACACTCCCAGGGATTACAGCACTGCTCCACCGAGGGGATTAACACTCCTCCCTTCCCCCTTCCAGTACTGGATTTTCAGGGGGCACAGGGGAGAAGCTTGACTAAAGAGGCCTGTCAATCTACCTAGGGGATGTAAACCCATCAAAGCCCATAAAAACTTGGGAAGTTCACCGACCAATCTGGAAAAGCTTCTAGTCTTTTCTAAGCCCAGGCTGATATAAACCCAGGGATACAGAGAAGCGCGCTCTCTCTCTTTCTCTTGCCCAGGTGACCTGCACTAGCCCTGTGCACTCCCACTTCGCCTCTCCATAGCCATGTGGCCTTAGCAGTCATGTGGCCGACGGCCATGCAGACTCCACTTACATACAGGCTCCGGCAGGAAGCCTAAGTACTGCCGCACAGCGGCAGACTGCAGCTGGAAACACGCTAGGCTGGCTGGATGCAAGACTGTACTGCACTTTAACAATGAAGGCAGTGACCTTCATTCTGGCCCTACTGAAAACAAGGTTAGACCTTTTCCATGGTGAGGTGGACAGAGATGGACACTGGGAAGTCAGGAGGGGAACTCCCTTAATTTTACATCATCAATAAAGGTTACCACAGAACCCCATCCTCCCATGTAGGTCTCAGGAGGTTCTGTTTCTTGGGAAATTGCAAGAAGTTGTTTTCCACCAATGACACTTAAAGAGAGGATGGCAGGGAGGGGGAGAGAGAGGCAGGGGGAGAGAGAAATATTGATGTGAGGGAGAAACATTGTTCAGTTGCCTCCTGTATGCTCCCCCGGCCAGGATCAAACCTGCAACCTAGGTATGTCTTCTGACTGATGACCAAAGCCATAACCTTTTGGTGTATGGGATGATACTCCAACCAAGCGAGCCACTTGGCCAGGGCAAATTAAAAAATTTTACACTGATATTGGAGGGACCAAAAGCTTTTGCCACCCTAAAACTGCCCTTTTTGTATACTGATTTTAAGTTAGTTATTAAAAAACAAGACTCAGAAGGAATATCTGACCCTCCCCTTTCCAGCCCAAGAGATTCAGACGGAAAGACCTGCTCCAGGAAAGAAATCTTAGTACAGGCACCTGAGCCTAATTTGATGTAAGGATGAGAGACAGGAAGACTCCAAGAGGAGACTGCCCTCTACCCTGTGGTCCTGGTATCTTCTGAGCTGCCTGGCAGTAATGTATTTGCCACTCTCTTGCTACCG